TTCGTATTATACATTTCTCATATAATATTATTAATTCAAATTATTAATTTGGCCAATGTGATATTTTTTATTCAACAAATTAAAAATATAATATACCTAATATATATAATATAATTAAAAATAATTTTTTAAAATTTGTAATGATATTTTTAATGCAATGAATTAATTAATTTTACTAGATATTTTTAAATAAGTTAGAGATATGGAAAATTGCAATTGCTAAAAATACTTGACAACTAAAGACACAATTCCACTTAAGTGGATAAAGGGTCTATCTATAGACATATAAGTGAAAAAAAATTGACAACTTTTTTTAAAATCTTTTATCGTGCTTGATTAAGGAGTATTTTTAATAAAAAACAAGGTGTAATTTTTTTTCACTTAGACCCGGGTCGCGACCAGAAAACCGATGGACGTCCTGAGGCCTAGGCCTATGGACGTCCTAAGGCCTAGGCCGATGGACATCCTGAGTACGTCCATCGGTTTTTTGCCTGCGACAATAGTTGAAGATACAAATTGATATATCACCTTTTATAAAGGCCTTTATAAAGGGTGATATATCAACTTGTATCTTCAACTATTGTCGCAGGCAAAAAACCGATGGACATACTCAGGATGTCCATCGGCCTAGGCCTTAGGACGTCCATAGGCCTAGGCCTCAGGACGTCCATCGGTTTTCTGGTCGCGACCGTCTGTAAAGGATTTAAACCGGATGTCCTCAGGACATCTTGTGCTATCTGGCAGCAAACCAGGCTGTTCCATTTACATAACCATGATATAACTAACAAAGAACATTGCCATATAAAATTGTTTACATAACATTTACATATTAGTTATTTATTTTGTTACATAATTATGATAAAACATAGTAATATAACATTTATATAAATATGTTCCCCTCTTGTTATATTTACATCCCCCTTATGTATCAGCCATATAACAATGTTATATATCTACAATGGAACAATGATACATCATTGATATATGGCAATGTTTTATAGTATCCATATAACCTTATTATATGGTATTTACATAGTTTTTCTTTATTTTGTTACATAATTATAATAAGAAATTTTAATATAATAGTTATATCAAAATGATCCCTTCTTGTTATATTTACATCCCTATTATGTCATGGCTATATAACAATGTTTTATACCTACATTGTAACAATGATATATAAATGTTATATATTAATGTTTTATATAGCCTTTTTATCTTACTAACGAACTCGTTTAAACGGTTGTGTCGAGTGCTCTCTATTGTGTTTTAAGTTAAGTTAAGTTTGATTCCATTTTTTTATAATAAAATGGAAGACAAAAATAGAAAAAAATATATTTCCCTATCCCGGAGGCAAAAGCGGAAGAGAATTAATGCAGATCTCGAAAAAATGGGCGTGGAGGTAAGAAATTGTATAGAAAATACCCAAGACAATGTGGAATATACTGAGGCTAAAACCGAAGTATTATCTTTCCCTAACCAGCCAATAAATAAACATATAATAAAAATATTTTTACAGAAAATTTGGGAGAATATTCAGGAGGTCATAGGAAAAATTCCCATACTTTTGTGGAAGATTTGCAAGATTTGTGTAATAGATACTTACCTAGTCAACTTTTTATTAATGATCTGTTAAAAGTTTTGAGAAAACATTATTGCAAAAAGAAGTAGAGGCTGAATTTGTAAGTATATAAAGGGCGATTTTAAACCTGTTTAATAATGTTAATTTGTTTTTAAAACAGGGTGCTAAAAAACAAGCGACAAATTATAATTTAATGATATTTGGTAGCCAAAATAAGAGTTTAATTTCTATATTTTTTTTTAACTTTATACTGTTTTTTCAACTGGTACTTAAAAGATACAATAATTTTGCTAAATAACCAAGATGGATACACTTTTTTATTATAATTGTTGTGACAATTAATTTTATGCAATTTCCATATTTTTCATTATTTTTATATCTCTTAAGGTTGCAGGGTGCATTTGACTTAAATAAAATCAAACAAATTATTATTTGTACCAAATATCATTTACATAACTACATAAAGAATAGTTGTTCTTTGTTTTGAAAACAAATCAATAAACAAAAAATTGTATTTTTTTTCAGTTTTAGTATATAACAAAAATTGGAGGCGTCTCAGAGAAAGATGCCACAGTAAGAGTTTTAAAGAAAATCTTCTCAAATAATTTGGCAAAAGATTGCTCTTGGCTGGGGCTAAGAAACAACAAAAAAATTCAAAATTTAAAATCTGTTGAAATATTTATTGAAGGGTAAAAATGTAAATTTTATGGGATTTTTTATTAAATAAATTTTTTTAAGCTGCTGTGTGCACTTCGACAGACAAAAATTTTGAAGGCATAGTTTCCGAATGGTTCCGGCAGGCCAAATAAAGATTTGGTATACCCTATAGGGAAGCAAAAAACCCATGAAAAAAAGGTATATTCATATTAAATTCATGGGATTGCTTTATCTTTTTTACCATATATTTTTTAGCTTTGAAGTATTAATGTATTTGGGATTTTTTTTTGTTTGGAAAAACTTTTCGTTTGTTTTAAGAAGTTAGAAAGAAGAAATGATTTGTTTTTTTTTTAATTAAAATAATTTTTAATAAACATTTAAACCAATTTGTTTTTTTTTAATCTCTTTCAGAATCATTTATTTTTGTAATGCTTACTTATTATTTATGTAATATTTATTTATAATTTATTTAATATATTATCTAACTGGCATTAACAATTTCTTAGTTCTAATTTGGTATTATGGCAATTTTAAAATTTTGTTGATTTTTTTTCAAAAAATTTGCCATAATACCAAGTAAGGGCTAAGCAATTTTTAATACCAGTAAGATAATATATTACATGAAATTATATTTATAAATATTTCATAAATAATATGTAAATATTGCATAAATTATATATAAATAAGTAAATGCAACATTTATGTAAATAGAATATAATTGTTTTATCACGTTTACATAACTATGATATGGCGCTGTAACATTACAGTTACATATCTATGATAAAACACTGTTACATCACAGATACATACCCAGGAAGGGGTCTTGAGGCGGACATAGGAGCATCGCCATTACATATAGGTGACATAGCTGTTGCATAGTAAGGAACAATTTTTATGTAAATGTTATATCACTGTTACATAACTGATATGGCGCTGTAACATTACAGTTACATAACTATGATAAAACACTGTTACATCACAGTTACATACCCAGGAAGGCGGCTTGAGGCGGACATAGGAGCATTGCCATTACATATAGGTGACATAGCTGTTGCATAGTAAGGAACAATTTTTATGTAAATGTTATATCACTGTGACATGATTTGGTTTGCTGGGTTATGTCAATAAGTGTTGTTAAATAAGTAAAAATGGCGTACTCAGACAGAGAAAGACAAACTATTTCAACTTATTATCTTAAAAATAATTTAAATATTTCAGAAACGGTTGAATTTAGGTATATGCATGGTATGATATATGAAATATGCTTAGAATTTTACAAGGAATCGAAAAATAAATTCATATATAGGGTGATCCATTGAAAAAAATAAACTTTTTGTTTTCCCTGTATACTGATCAATTTTCCAATTTTCTTTATACGTAGAAAAAAAGTATTTTTTAGTTCCTACATAACCACACTTTTAAATTTTTTGGGACACTTAAAATAAAAAAGTTAAAGGGGGGCGACATTATAGGGGATCACCCTGTACAAAGCAACCAGGTAGTAGGGACCAGAAAAAGGTAGGCAACCTAGCTGTTACATATTCTGTATGTTTTATGCTTTCCATTGGAATTTCGTTCATTTGACAAGCAAGTCGGTGAAATTTAAAAAATAAATTATTTTTTAAATTTTTTATTTATTATAGCCATGATCATATTTTTTATGGCAACCCTATTGGTTTATGTTCAGAAACATATTTTATTTGATAAAATATAATTTTCATCTGGTAAGCAGATGGGTGAAGGTCGACCTTACTTGGGATCTTAGACTATAATTGATATATTGATCAATAAAACGGACAATTAATAAAAAGCGGTCGAAAAACTGACTTTTTCGGCCGCTTTTGATAATCATCTATATATGGCACACTACAAATCGGACAAAAGTGAAAACGGCCGGCCGAGTACTAAAAACTAACTTTATTGTTTATGTCGACTAAAAAATTGTTTTCTTACTACCTCGACTCAAAATACGTTGTTTCGTCCCCGATTTCACGGCAGAAAGTTTACGTTTCTTGCATTGGTCAAGCTATACGCGCACACTCTAATAGCGGGAGTAAAAATTTTTTAGTCGCGTGCTTAACATTTAAATTTCGTACTGCCAACATGAGAAACACAAAAATATGACAGTTTTAAACCATAATTTTGCAATTATAACAACAAATAAACAATTTATGTTTTTACTTTTTTACTTTTTATGTTGTTTTAAGTGTTTAATGGTACTTTTATTTGTTATAAAGTAGTAATTTGTTAATTAAAATACAACCTTTTATTTTTACTGTATTGGCACCGCTGAATTACCATGACAACGCTACAGTTTGATTGATTTTGAATGTAAACGTCAGAATTAAATTAAACGTCAGATTTTAATTTTGACACAAATTTTTTTATATAGGGTGGGTTCGCCAGTAGTCGGCCTTTTTCAATGTATTTTGACTTATACCTTAAATAGCATTAAAGTTTATCGAGTTAAGTTATAAATTCCTTTATGGGAGTGGACATACTGTATTCTATCATTGCGTGAGTATGAAGGTGAAACCTTTTATTTAAATCTGTTTTATCCCTTTAAATAACTTCCAAAAACAAACACTTTTGCTAGTAGTCGGCCGGTAATACTCTATTAGTCGGCCATATCTATACCAGTTGTCGGCCGTGGCATTTATAATGTATTTTCGCCAGGTCCGTATGGCATTTTTGTGCCATATGTAAAGTTGGAGCTTCTGCGGGAAGTTTTTTATAAGTTTGTAGATACAAAATTAAATAATTATAGAAAATTGATATATTCTTCCGTAAATTTTGCACGAGACTTGTCTATTGACTCAGAAGTTCGGGTGAAAATTTGTGAATGTCTATGAAGGAATGATGAATACCATTTTTGGCTAGTTTTCCCGTCTTTAAATGGAGTTTTTATTTTCTGATCCAAGACAATCTTTTGTATCGTAGAAATTAATTTACACTTTTTAACAGGAAATCCACATTTCGCCAAATTGATTATCCAGTTGACCACTTTTTTCTCATTTTCGGCGCTCAAATATGAGTCTGGGCCTATTTGCCTTGGCTTATTAGCAATTCGCGCCTTGATCCGGTCCTGTAGTGTTGCCCTGGGAATGCTGTATCTTCGACAAGATTCCCTTATTGTGATCCCATTGTACATCGCTTCGATGGCCTTTTGCAAATTTTCGTCGGTAAATATACCGACCAATAGGTGGAACTTTCGTTTCATTTTCAAAATTAGACTGAAAGTGGATAATTTCAAATATTAAGTCGAAAAATGGTTCTAAAAGTGGCTCAAAATCATACGGCCGACTACTAGCAAAAATAGCATTCGATGCCCACTCCAATAGTCGGCCATCAATTTAGAACTTCCGTAACATTTTTATTTTCACTTCTACCTCCGGCCGACTATTGGTACAGAAAATCTGCTTATTTGATAGAACATAAGTGTTGTCAGAGAAAAAATATACAAAATTAGATAATTAAGATAAAGACAAGTAAATATTTTTATCAATGCACCAGTAGTCGGCCTCATAGGCCGACCACTAGCTACTCTGTTAAATTCACATGCTAGTGATTGGCCATTAAATTTTAAACCTAAAAATTACGAAATTACGGTTTTTAAACCAAATATTAGGTATTTCAATGTATATTCTTTCATAACAATCCACCAAAGTTCTTTAATTATTGACTTATAGAAAATAACTTCCGTTTTAATTTTCTGGCATGCTGTTCTAATCAAAGTTTCGGCAGGTGGAACACTCGTATCAGCGACAGTGTGAATTTTGCGCGGGAATTATATATGACAGGAGTTTTTTAGGTTAAGCGAAATTGACATTTAGCTATACAAATATGACAAGATAATAGGTACATAAAGGAAGATTGCTCAAAACTGGCGCCTAATTCAAGTTATTTGCGAATAAAGTTGCTAGTGGCCGACTACTGGTGGTGGCCGGATTACTGGCGAACCCACCCTACATTTAATTTTTTCCCGTATTTTCTGCAGGGTAGTAAGAAAAATAGTATACACTACACGGGCAGAAAGTGTGAGAGTCCTGAACTGCGCGCCATGATGCCCTCGGCTTCGCCTCGGGCATCATGGCGCGCAGTGCAGGAATCTCACACTTTCTGCCCTTGTAGTGTAATATACTATTTCTTTCCGTTTATGTAAATTAAATTAGTGTTGAATATCGTATAGCGCCTATTCTTGACACCCTATATTATATATTATATTGTATAAACTAATTTAAATTAGTCAATTGATATTTTAATAAATATTTTTGAACCTTGTGTAGCATTATTTCTACAAAATAATAATTTTTACTATAGTAGGTATACTAATATCATTGATTAATATCCTTTACTTAACGCTTATATAAAGTAAAAATTCAAATACTTTAAAATAAAACAAATTGCGCCATCTATGCTCTCAAAGCCTTATTATTAGCTTAACATAACAGTTGCCGGTGTTGGTTAGAAAGTGTCATAATAATCCTAGCACAGAGGCCGTTGAAAGCTGGTATTTTCATATACTCACAAGGTAAGTATATGGGTATTTTAAATAAATAGTAAATTATAACGGAAAATCTAGACAAAAGTTTTTGACTCACCTAAAATTACAAAATCGATGTTTTAAAAACAATTTTCACACAATTAGGTATTTTAATAATTTGCTTATTACACTTTGCCAAAAGTTAACTTAACACAAAACACCTCTTAAAATTACGGTAAAAAATTACCTATAAAAAAAGTGACTCGCTAATTTCTGCACTATTTATATTTGACAGTTCGCGTTGTTACAGCGCATGTGTCGATTTTCTTATGTCATTTTTGCATTGACAGCTAGATTTTTACAATGTTCAACAAGTGTTTATGTTTTGTGGTGTTTATAAACATAAAGAGAAAAACAGGAAGTATGTTTTTTTTTTGTGTCTGTTATTATAATGCTAATAAAACAAGTAGGTAAGTAATTTTTAGATTATTTTATGTTGAAAGGTATTAAAAATGTAGGATTTTCCTCCCTGTATGTATAATCACTTAAAATCTACAATTAAAGTAACGAACCATTCTTCCTCACTCTCAAGTGCGTAAAAATGCGTTTTTAGCAACAAGCGACGCACAAGTGGCATTTAGTAATAAATGGTTTCATATCTACCCTGCAATTATCCACAATTACGTGTATTGTGGTGCTGAAAGCATTCATTTAAGCCCCGAGGACTATGCTGATGCCGAGCCTATACTTACCTATAGTGTTTACTGTATTTAATCCACTAATCTTTCTTAGTTACTTTACTTCCTTATTTTACTGAATAATAAACCATTTTCTGACAGGTACAAAATCAGTTCTTTTGTGCAAGTTGTTTCATAGGTAGGTATTTCGGAAGTAAGTTTATTTAAGCATCTTGAGTTTTGATGTTTTAAACAATTTTTTGTATAAAAAGTTTTCTTATAAAATAGTTTAATACCTAATTAGGTATTTTTTTAAATTATAATCTTTTTGATTTTATACTTAATACCTACCTATTACAGAACACTATCCAAGTTAATTTTACAGAAAAAAATATAACAAGAACGTCATCTTTGTCACACACTATCAAAAACCAACCATTCTTCCTAAAATATACAAACATAACCAATTTCGTTGACAGCAGTCAACTAGTTTAATTAAACTTTAGGTAATAGTTATTTGTTTTACAAGTGTTGAAAAGCGACTTTTTCATGCGAGTGTTTAAGTTGCTCACGAGGCTGTTAGGCCGAGTGTGCATTAACACGAGCTTGAAGAAAGCTTTTCTCACAAGTGAAACACAATGTTTTTTTCTACGACCCTTTTATTTTTTATTATATTCAAATACAAAACAAAATAACCTAAAAACGTGTTTGACAGCTGTTAAAATTACTTACTTTTATCTTATTCTTTTAATTTTTAGGGTACAATTTACTTAAAATCAATAAACTCACCTTCTCAATTTAAATAAAGGCACTAAAAATTGGAATTTAGTATGCAAACACAATTAATTGTCTTCTAAATGATATTTAGACATACATAACAAATACAATACAAATTTTGAACCGAATGTCAAACGATGCTGTCAATTTCTTTTCACACAGACCTGTCACTTTTCACACAGAAATGTCACTTTACATTCGTGTTTTGCCTTGCCAGTGAAAAGATTCATTTTCTAAGCAACGATGCCATTACGTAATGTGACTTTTACATAGTGGTCGTAGAAAAAGTACTTTTTCTACTCCCACCTTTAAAACGCCCTTTTCATTTCGCCGCAGTAGTGCAGTTAACTAGATTTAATTGATAAAGCGTTAAAAATGTTGCGTACAGTGCCCATAAAACATTCTCTTCCATTTTACTGTGAAAAACTGCTTCTATATCGATTTTAAATCTATTTTCAAGGGATAAATTTTGATTTACACAAAAAATTTTAGATTTTAACGCCGCGGCGCGCCGGTAGATTCCCAAGTTAGAAATTTTAACGGGAATTTCAATAAATACAACTGTAATTAATGGATGTCCCCAAAAGTTAGTCTCGATGAGATATACAACCTACAGTGTGACCCATTTGTTTGCGACTCACCCCTGTAAAATCTTTATTTATTGTGCGATTTTAACCGGATTTGTTTTAAAGTGTAGATCTTGAAAATAGTATATTATGTATCAAGTTTTATAAACGCCATTTTAGTTACGAGTTTAATTAAGCACGAGCGAAGCTTGCGAGCGAGTGTTTAATAAAAACGAGTGTCTAGAGAAGTTTATAAACGAGTTGCATACTATACTTTATCTACGAAGAACACAAAACAGAATTTAAAGCCAATTTTATTTGTTAAAATTTTGACATCTGTCAACTGTCGAATTTAACCTTACTTTTTCCCAATTTATAATAAAGCTAACTTCAGCCCTTGACGTAAAATGTCGAAAAGCCACTGTTGTTAACTTCAGCCCGTCAATAAAACGCCATAAAGTGACAGCTCGTCAATGTAGGAGTAGATAAAGTATATTTTTGGAGCAAAAAACGCCATATTTTTAGAAAACACAAGGCCTACTATGACAATTTTTAAGAGTAAATTTTTAAGAATTCATATTAGCGATTTTTTAAACTAAATCTAAGGACGGCACTGGATTCACCACCCTTTACCAAATTTTATTGAACAATTTTAAGTAGAAACATGTACAAAAATAACTACAAAAATTTATTCTGTCAAGTTATCCATGAAAAAACATTGAAATAAAATTAATCTTATAGTAATTGTAGGTACCTACCATGTTACTATTAGTTTAATTATATATCAATGTTTTTTCATGGATAACTGGACAGTATAAATTTTTGTGGTTAATATTGTGCATTTTTTTACTTAAAATTTTTCAATAAAATTTAGTAAAGGGTCGTTTTGAGGGGTGGTGCTTAGATTTTGTTTAAAAAAATCGCTAATATGAATTCTTAAATATTTACCCTTAAAAACTGACATAGTAGGCCTTGTATTTTAAATCCGGCTATAAATAAGGAAGCTCAATAAATTTTTACAGGGGCGAGTCTCAAACAAATGGGCCACACTGTATATATGTAGGTACATTTTGTTTTTAAATTATTGACCTTCTTTTGTATTTCTATCTTTATTTTCGTTATTTATAGCCGGATTTAAAAAAATTATAGGTACCTACCTATTAAACTGAAAATTTTAAAATCTTTAATTTAATAGAAACACCCCCCTGGTATCAAAAAAAAAATAAGAGTAAACTAAGAACATATAGATATTTATTAAATAAAAATCAAAAATACAAATTTCTGACATCTATAAATTTACAGACTTACCTATATGAAAAAAATAAACTAAAAAAACGCATTTCGAAATCAACGTAACAAAAATTAAATCGATAATTAAAAAGTGTGAACCTACCCAGGTTGAACAACCAAAAATCATTTTCTACCTATTTATTTATCTTATTTTCTTTTGAGATAAAATCTCCGCAGGTACAAAATCGTATGTCAAGAGGCGAGTATTCTATCGTATAAATTTGTTAAATGTTTCAGAAATAATTGAAAAATTACAGGGATTTGCGCTGGATGTTTTCGGAATTGTACAATAGCATGAATAGGAAATTCGGAAGAGAATAATACAGGGAAAGGAAAACAGGAAGTTTAAGTAATTGTTTTGTTGGATTATAACAATGTAACAATAGATGAATATCTTAAACATAAAATTACGTAAATGTATTTACAT